GACCGCACTTGAAAGTAGTATATCTCAATGAATTTTCAGCTTCGCAGCTTATCTGGCAACCGAAATATCCATTTCACTACAAATATGTTTGAAGTACCTTAAGTTGTGGCGCAAGTGCAAATCGGGACTCATTTTAGGTATACGATTTCTCATATGGTGCTGACAAAATTTCAGCCACTGTTTTCCGGCAAGTTTTCGAATTAGCGCAGCACCAAGATGCAAACTTTGACGTGATCGTACGCGGTGCACAAGCATACGCGACAGCTGAATTTGAAATCCTTAGCTCGCACATACACAAAGAATATCCTAACAAAGTTCAGCTCAGTACTTTGCTTAGTTCGCAAAATCGTTACCCATCAAAAAATTCGCATATTTTTTTTCGAAGTCCGTGCGCGAAGTCTAGGCGCTTGTGGGCGAAAATTTTAAAATTTGAGGATGACGCACAGGGCAGGAACATATACGGAAATTTCAGCTCCTAGCTTTCCTGGTTGCTGAGATGAAAGTGGTTGGCAAAATTCACTCGCTTCTGAACCCACACACAAACACACACACACACACACGCACAGACGCAGACAACCTCTTGACAATGTGCGTTTTTGCTGGCTGTAGGTGTGGGAACGCTATAGCGCTGCACAGTAAAAACGCATAAAAATATGTAAAAACTGGAAAACAAAGCAAATAATATTAAGAAATTAGTGAAAGTTATAAAATCCAGTAAAATATTTTATAATGGTAAGAAATGTTTTCATTGTCAAAGGTTTTTAATGCGTTTTTGTTTATATGCAAATTACAAAAACGCACATTGAGACGACCCCGTCTGTGTGTGTGTATGTATATGTGTGTGTGTGTGTGTGTGTGTATTTTTGTGTGTGTATTCATCCGCCTGAGTATTTCAACTCGGCAACCAAGCAAGTTCCAGCGCCGAGATTTTGCTAATGGGTACCCCGGCCAAGTACCACCCCAGAACCGTTGTGCTATCCCTCACGCACGTCTGGGCCCCGTGTACGAGGATGCGAAAGTTTTGGCGGGAAAATTGGTAACTCGGGAACGAGAAAAGATAGGAAGCTGAAATTTTGAGATTATATTCCCCGTCCAAACATAACTCAAAGATTTCAAATTCAGCCTCCAGGTGCGCGTGGTTCCCAAGTACGGCCCTGTGAGATTTTTCGGTGGGGAAATGGCTAACTCGGGAAATAGCAAAGCTGGGAAGCTGAGATTTTCAGGGAATGTTCCCAGCCCATGTACGACTTAAAGAAAAAAAAAACCAAATTCATCAAAATCTCAGCCATCAAATTCATTCCTCAGGCATGCGCTGTTCTCACGTGTGGCCCCGTGAGATTTTTCGGCGAGAAAATGGCTAACTCGGGAATTAGTGTAAAATACGCTGTGCATAGCCATTTTGAACGTGGATTTGTTGCTGCCCCTGCAGTACGTTGTCCAAATTCTTTGATATCAAATGTTTCTAACATTATTTGCAAAGTATCAAAGTCATGCCGATACGAACCATTAAAGAGTCTTTTCCTTAACTGATTTGCATGTTTCCTCAGGATTCCCTTTCCCACCTGAACTTCATATACCACACAACCAATTCGTCGCTTTATTACTCCATGAACCCACTTATTCTTCTGGTATTTCTGAACCATGACATAAACTGGATCCTTGACGTGAAATATCCGTTCACGATCCCCATTGTGCCTATTGTACTGTTTCTCCATACGCTCATCCCATTGTGTGGATTCTTTGCTAAATCGTAGAAGATTTAGCTGAGTATGAATTCTTTGGTCTAAGAATAATTCTGAAGATGTGACGTTATTCGGTAAGCTGGTATTTGGTGTAGTTCGGTAGGGCCATTAGAAATATCTCCAGCTTGTCACCTACTGGATCTTCTTCATCCAATTTAAGTAACATTCTTTTGAAGGCATCCACAAATTCTTCAGCTTAACGGCTTGATTGGGGATGATAACTTGGTGTGCGTATGTACTTAATATCAAAGTTCTCACAGAACGTGGTAAGTTCTGCCGAAATAAACTATGCGCCATTTATCCGACACTAACACTTCTGGCAATCCATATTTTGCAAAAACTTGCCTTAGCACTTCACAGTCGTTCATACCGTTGTGTCTGGCGTAATAATTTTTGACCAATTGCTATAAGCATCTACAATGAACAAAAAGTGGTATCCTTTGAATAGACCAGCATAATTTATATGTACTTATGACCATACGCGATTTGGTTTTGGCCATGAAGCTTAAGCGCATTTTATCGGTGCTTTTGTTGCTTTTGCACGCTTCCACACCGTTGTACCAGTTCTTCAATACCTTTTTTCTATTCCTGGCCAGTAAACATGCCTAGCCAATAACTTTATCCTATTAGTTCCAGGGCGCACAAAATGTAATTGATGCAAAATTCGTGTCTTGAGTGATTCAAGAACTACCACTTTATCAGCAAACATCAGACAGTCATTAATTTCTGACAAAGATTCTCTTTTGTTAAAAAATTGCTGCAACTCTGCATTTCTAATTTGTTTTGGCCAACCCTCTCCCAAGTACTGCAGTACTTTCTTCAAACTCGGATTCTTGATAGTCTCTTCTTTTACCGTCTTATGTGTTACTGGAAGTTGCGAATTGCATCCACTAAAATTCTGTGAATATCAGGCTCAGTTCGAATTGCAGCTATAACCTTGTCATTTTTGATGTCATCTTCATCATCCGCGACAATGCATCCGCTTGTCCGAACGTCATGGTCTAGTGCTATTCCAGTTTAAAACCAAAAGGCGATAGTATGTCAGCCCATCTCTGCAATTTTTGCAGAGATGGACTGTATACACGGGTATTCTTTTTTAGCACAGAATGCGGCCAACAATGCCTTAAGGGTCGTTAATAACGTGAATCGTCTATCAGTATCATCTTGTGAAACTTCCTAAGCCAGTGCTTCCTTTTCTATCTGACTACATTTGCGTTCTGAAGTTGTCAAAGTTCTTGAAGCATGAGCTATTGCTTTTTCTCAACCATCAAGAAAATTATGTGAAACTACGGCTCCCAGACCGTAGTTACTGGCACCTGGGGCTATAACAACATCAACTTTTGGATCACACTGTGTCAGCAACATATCTGATCGCAGTACATTTTTGATTTCCTTGAATGCTTGTTCGCACCTTACTGTCCGATTGAGCTTGACATCTTTCGGCAGTAGCTGATCTAGCGGCGCCCTGATCTTATGCAAACTCTTTACAAATTTTACCATTTCCAAGAATGATCGAAGTTGATTCGCATTCACTGGATATGGCACTGTAGGATAGGCTTCAT